TTTGAATAAAAATTATATATATGTATANACACACACACACACACACACACACACACACACACACACATATATATATATATAATCATGCATACCGAAACTCGATGCAGACCGCAGTGTCAGATCTCTTATAATCGCCGAGAAAAGGAAGGACCATTGTACCAGTACGAGATTCGCTTCGTCAATGCTCAATGGGCCAGTTCTCTGTGTTCACGAGTGAGTGGCGAAAGTCAATAGTGCAGTGTCAGCCGAACGTAACAGAGGCATCGGCAAATAAAACATCAGAGCTACATATCTTAACACCTACAGCATCAGCGTCTCAACGACATGGGTTGATCTCAAATTGCATTAACGTACAGCATGAAAACTATGCTCACATGTTGTGTGGGTGATTGTACGAGTGGCTTGTTGATGAGTTTACACGTGTAGTGTGGATGATTGTACGAGTGACTTGCTAACGAGTTTACACATGTAGTGTGGGTGATTGTACGAGTGGCTTGTTGATGAGTTTACACGTGTAGTGTGGATGATTGTACGAGTGACTTGCTAACGAGTTTACACATGTAGTATGGGTGATTGTACGAGTGGCTTGTTGATGAGTTTACACATGTAGTGTGGGTGATTGTACGAGTGGCTTGTTGATGAGTTTACACATGTAGTGTGGGTGATTGTACGAGTGACTTGTTGGTGAGTTTACACATGTAGTGTGGGTGATTGTACGAGTGACTTGTTGGTGAGTTTACACATGTAGTGTGGCTGATTGTACGAGTGACTTGCTGATGAGTTTACACATGTAGTGTGGGTGATTGTACGAGTGGCTTGTTGGTGAGTTTACACATGTAGTGTGGGTGATTGTACGAGTGGCTTGTTGATGAGTTTACACGTGTAGTGTGGGTGATTGTACGAGTGACTTGTTGATGAGTTTACACGTGTAGTGTGGGTGATTGTACGAGAGACTTGTTGATGAGTTTACACGTGTAGTGTGGGTGATGGATTGCATGGTGCTGTATCCTCATACCGGTACGAGTGTCTTGTTGATGAGTTTGGTCAGCCAGCTGAGGTAGTCCTCTAGGAACGGCAGATCATTCAGCAGATCCTTAAGACCGAACTGTATCGCCGATGTCAGGTCCAGTCCTTTGGTCTCGTATATATGCTTGGCGTGTGCAGCTGTCTGGTAGGTAAATGTATGTAAATATGGTAGGTAAGTGTATATAATTATAGTAGGTAAATGTATTTAAACATAGTAAGTAAGTATGGTAGGTAAATGTAATTAAACATAGTAAGTAAGTATGGTAGGTAAATGTATATAAACATGGTAGAAAAATGGATATAAAAATGGGAGGTAAATGGTTATAAATATGGTAGGTACATGTATATAAATGGATGTGTGTGTGTGTGTCAGCTGTTGGTTCTGGGGTTTGTACCCTGAGTCTTTTTAATCGGATTGTATTGCATGGTACAAATAAATACAATCCTCTAGAGCATGATTCAGCGGATCCTCAAGACCTAGCTGTATCGCCGATGTACGGGACAGCCCCTTGCTCATATACACGTATTTGGCGGCTGCTGAGTGGTAGGTATATCTATAAATAGATATACGACAAGGCATATAACGCTCATGCTACAGATGCGCTGTGTTGAGTATATGCATTATAAGACTATGAATCATCCCAATCAGATTGAAAGGAAAGAACAAATGAACAAAACCCTCTGAGAATGGCAGGGCCCTTTTGCCTACAGACATAATGCAATAGGTCATACCATAATGTAAGCTAATAAATAAAGATACAATGTAATAGATCATACCATGATGTAAGCTAATAGAGAAAGATATAATGCAATAGATCACACCATGATGTAAGCTAATATAGAAAGATACAATGCAATAGAACATACCATAGTGTAAGCTGATAGAGAAAGATACAATGCAATAGATCATACCATAGTGTAAGCTGATAAAGAAAGATACAATGCAATAGATCATACCATAATGTGAGCTAATAGTACAATGCAATAGATCATACCATAATGTGAGCTAATAGTACAATGCAATAGATCATACCATAATGTAAGCTAATAGAGAACGATACAATGCAATAGAACATCTATAGTGTAAGCTAATAGTTCAAGATACAATGCAATAGATCGTACCATAATGAAAGCTAATAGAGAAAGATACAATACAATAGAACATACCATAATGTAAGCTAATGGAGAAAAATACAATGCAATAGATCATACCATAGTGTAAGTTAATAGAGAAAAATACAATGCAAAAGATCATAATGTAAATTAATAGAGAACGATACAATGCAATAGGACATACCATAGTGTAAGCTAATAGAGAAAGATACAATGCAATAGAACATACCATAATGTAAGCTAATGGAGAAAAATACAATGCAATAGATCAAACCATAGTGTAAGTTAATAGAGAAAAATACAATGCAAAAGATCATAATGTAAATTAATAGAGAACGATACAATGCAATAGATCATACCATAGTGCAAGTTAATAGAGAAGAATACAATGCAATAGATCATAATGTAAATTAATAGAGAACGATACAATGCAATAGAACATACCATAGTGTAAGCTAATAGAGAAAGATACAATGCAATAGATCATACCATAATGAAAGCTAATAGAGATATATACAATGCAATAGAACATACCATAATGTAAGCTAATGGAGAAAAATAAAATGCAATAGGTCATACCATAGTGCAAATTAATAGAGAAGAATACAATGCAATAGATCATAATGTAAGTTAATAGAGAACGATACAATGCAATAGGACATACCATAGTGTAAGCTAATAGAGAAAGATACAATGCAATAGATCATACCATAATGTAAGCTAATAGAGGAAGATACAATGCAATAGATCATACCATAATGAAAGTTAATAGTTAAAGATATAATGCAATAGAAAATACCATAATGTATGCTAATAGATAAAGATATAATGCAATAGATGATATCATACAGCTCTAATGCAATAGATAGTATCATGCAGCACATCTCATCCAGAAAAAAAAAGCAATACATGACATCAAAATGTAAGCTTGCATGCACGAAGATTTACATCCATGCACTAACTCTGCCCCCACACACATAAACCCACATACACACACACACACACCCACAAACACACACACCACACACATAAACACATACACACACACACAATCAGAGAGAGAGAGACATAGACACAGACACAGACACATACACATACACAGACACAGACACAGACAGGGTTTTAGGGTTTAGGGTTTTAGAGACACAACAGACACAGACAAACTTCATTAAAGTCAATCCTAGCCCAGTCAAAGGCCATCTGGTCCACAATCTCTTCGTCCTGTAAGACGGCGCGCAGTGCCTGGCACAGGTTATCTACTGACAGGCGTTTCTGAAGACATATGACAAACTTGTCCAGTTGGTTGAGCTTCATGACCCCCACTTCTGGTACCACTGACTGCATAACGCGCATCATGGCCTGGTTGTGGCATAGTAAGGTAGTGTGGGTGGGTGAGCATGGTTGTGGCATAGTAAGGTAGTGTGGGTGGGTGAGTATGGTTGTGGCATAGTAAGGTAGTGTGAGTGGGTGAGAATGGTTGTGGCATAGTAAGGTAGTGTGGGTGGGTGAACATGGTTGTGGCATAGTAAGGTAGTGTGGGTGGGTGAGCATGGTTGTGGCATAGTAAGGTAAGTGTGGGTGGGTGAGCATGGTTAGTGGCATAGTAAGGTAGTGTGGGTGGGTGAGCATGGATGTGGCATAGTGTGGGTGGGCGAGCATGGTTGTGGCATAGTAAGGTAGTGTGGGTGGGTGAGCATGGTTGTGGCATAGTAAGGTAGTGTGGGTGGGTGAGCATGGTTGTGGCATAGTAAGATAGTGTGGGTGGGTGAGCATGGTTGTGGTATAGCAAGGTAGTGTGGGTGGGTGAGTATGGTTATGGCATAGTAAGGTAGTGTGAATGGGCGAGCATGGTTGTGGCATAGTAAGGTAGTGCGGGTGGGTGAGCAGGGCTGTGGCATAGTAAGGTAGTGTGAATGGGCGAGCATGGTTGTGGCATAGCAAGGTAGTGTGGGTGGGTGAGCAGGGCTGTGGCATAGCAACGTGAACATGTGAGTTAGCTTGTATATGTGGAGTGCGGGTCTTTCTGTTGTTATACAATCACGAGGTGTACGAGTGTATGTGTATGTTGGTGTGCCATGCAGCCTTTCTGATGCGTATATGTACATATGTAGAAGGTGTATGGAACAGCCTTCCTGGGTATGTGTCGAAAACCCATTCAGCTCACAAGCCACACTCTCAAGTCTAGTGTTAACACAGCTCACTGATATATATATATATATATATATATATGTATATGTATATAGATTCACGAACATACACACGTCACATCCACACGTCCACACGTCCACACGTCCATACATACATACACACATACAGGCATACATACATTACATACATACATGTACTGTATGTATGTACCTAGCACTACATACGACGGCTGGACATGTGGATATATGACTTGTACCCCTATACTCTCACAAAAAAACACTCGTATGTATCCTTCATCACAGGTCATACCTTCGGAGCACAGCGGATGAATTCGCGCGTGTTCTTTAGCAGTGTTGGATGAATGGGCCCACACACATGCGGAAATAGAGCCTACAGCGGTGGCAGGAGTGTACAATACTTGTTAGTACATAGGATAGGGCTGCACGATCGAACGTGGTGGGGAAGGTAAAATTAAAACTGGATGCGAAAAAATAAGGTAGCCTTAACCCTTAACCCTAAGCACTATAGAACACACACACACACATATATATATATATATATACATACATATATACGCACACACA